TATATCAACTTAATGTTTTTGTGTTTATTTTGAGTTAAAAATTAAACTAAAGGACAAGTGCACTGAAGCAATACTTAATGGGCCCTTTTTATGTGCCATTTTACTTCGAAATATATTACAAAATCGTTCTCTATTGGTAATAATTAGATACTAGTGGATATATCTAATTAAAAAGCATGTTAAGCACCACTTAAATCAGCATGGATTTGAAACAATTGAATATTTTTAAATGCCTATGGATACCCTATAAATCCGGAAAAGTCGTACCGAACTTTCTGTTAGTTTCGTTTATGTAAATCAAAGGGAAATAAATATTTAAATCGATACTTGAACAATCTGATGGTGGATCATAGTCGGGAGCGTTTGCGGAATGATAATTCTTGCGCCAAACCTGTTTTTTAAAATATTGAATGAAGTTGTGTAGTTATTTTTAGCTAAAATGATTAAACTAAGAGTTTGGTACTCTTGCATTTGAAAAATTACAATAATAGTTTCATTGAATATGAAATTAGAAAGGAGTGTTATAAGTGGCTTTCAATACCTGTTTCTTTGTTTTGCATGAAGGTTAAAAATGTTTGAGACCTTGTGAACGGCACTAAGCTCTTTTTACCCTCCTATGTCTTAAAAAGCAATACATACAAACATGCATCTCTAAGAGACACAACTTTGACTTACTGAAACAAAACCTGCCTATGTTTTACAGTGAACACTTTTGAGGAATGTTTACCTGGATAAAACTCACGTGACTATCAGTATTTTAAATAATTTATTCCACACGTGGGTTCAACATGGGTCGTACAGGTAAATAGCTCTCACTTGCTATAGGAAAAACATTGTACTTTTTATACATTTTTAATATTTTAAGAACGAGCCTAATCGTGTGCAAATTTCATATTTTCACACAGATTTTATATATGTAATATGCGTCTTTTGTCATTCGCACAAGTTTGCACAACGTTAGTCTCATAGTTAACTAAAGCTTTGAAATGAATGACCGTTCTCGATTTACTATAGAAAATGGCAAATGTCGGCTGACCCCTACCATATTGTATAGTTTTGTTCTTTGTATATTCTTGGATTTCAGCGGTAAAATTTGTTGAATCTTATGGTTTAGATATCAATTAATGATTTGAGATAAAAAATTTTGCTTAATTTGATTGTTTATTTTTTCACATTTTACCGGAGCCCATAAGTGCACTCCTTCTTTATACTCATACACAAGGAAATATAATTGTAAATGATTTAAATCTTTAAGAGAAAACAAAATATTGCATGATATATCTAGCTGGAAACTTCAGTTAAACAATACGATCTAAAGATAGCTTTGTAGCAACAGCTAATATATGATAAAACGCCACTTAATGATAGGAATTATTGCATTTTTAGTTGACATTCTCAAATGATTAATCATATCATTTTTTTTTATTAGGCGGCGTTTTAGCATTAACTGTTGAGAATATCAAATATTAATGCAACATTTTATGACAATAAGCGTTTCAATTGCAACTTAACGCTTAATGGTATTTCTATCATTTAGCGGCGTTTCATCATTAGCGGTTGCTACAGAGCTTAGTACATTAAGATTCTGGTAATGTTTGCTCAATTGCCTTCAGTATAACTAATGCAAGAGTAGTCGACGTCCGCAAGTGTATACCATTTTGAAAAGGAAAAAACTTGTATTGTTTGTCATATACCTGACAATCCTTAGGACATCACTCATATAAGTAAGCTTTGATGAGCTTCTTCTTCTTCCCTTTATGGAGTGAACTCAAATTGAGTTGTCAATACTCTAGTGATTCTGTGATGAAAAGTGAAAAACCTAATTATGTAAATTTGTATGAAAAGGGGTAAAAAGTTAAAAGTGGACAGTCTAGTGATGTAAAATCTCAGGCACGCTGATGGTCTTTATAGCGTGTCTGAAGGTGTATAAAAACATGTGACTCGTGTTTTCGCCAGTCCCCACAAAATTCAAGATTTGTTCTCAGCCAAAAAAGAAAACAATTTACCTTTAAAAAATAGTCAACCAAAAAAAGGGGAGGGTGATTGTCCAAACTCGAAACTCTAATCCAATTTCGCCATTTGGGGGTGGGGGGGAGGGGTGGGAGGGGGTTTAGGTCAGACTTCTTTCAGTATCAAATTTTCTTAATCAAACATATTTACATAATACACTGCCTTATTCTTTTGTCCTATAGTGCACGAATTTGATTATGCTGTTCGAAACCGGATTGTAGCCCCTATCGATACTTGCATGCGACTGTAATGGCCAATATTTTTTTTTAAAAGCAGAAATATTTGTGTGTGCTTTTTTTTTATATTAATTCCTTTCCTTTGAGTCATTTTAGGATTATGATATAAACTTCAGTATCTCGATTTCAACGGAACTTTAAGAAATTAATGTCGAGATATGCGGGGTATTTTGATACATGTACAGTATCAAAGTTGAACATTTCGGCGCAAAACGTGATTTATTTATTTCACACCCTGAATTCAATAGTCATTGCAACATATTGCACTCTCATTAAAGTTTTTAAAGATTTTAAACATTTTCATAACTTTTTGGAAATTACACCCATAACCACTTGCCACTTATACTTTTTGCTCTATCAGCGATGTATTCCCAAAATATACTGTCATATGGGAAATCAGCCAGAAATACGTACGTATTTTTGCTTTATCTATAGTGTTTTTTTCCTTCTGGTTTATAAATAACCTCATTCATTCATTATTGTCGATGTAATATTGTTAATTTCTTCAACATTGCGTATAATGCTGCTGGGAAAAGTCTACAATAGCTATATTTAATTCCTTAACATATTGCAATTATGCCGGTTCGAGTGGGATTTCATTCATTTATTTCATCGGAACAATCTAAGAAAATTGAAACAATAGTAATTTTTACCATATACTAGTAGTTCTCTTGAATGTATTCATTTGATCATTTTTAAATTAGTTTTTGAAACAATATTCTTCAGCAAAATTTTCGTGGTATCCACAGATACCAAACTGCTCAGAAAAAAATATGCAAATATCGTTTTAATTGCTGTTCCTGGCAATGGGCATGTCCGATGTGACGTATAACAGCATCAAGTTAAATACTAAAACAGAATTACGAATAAATTCACGTACTAAATAGTAATCATATCATATACCTATTTAAAAAAATGTCCGCATCAAATTTCAAATTTTTGTTACACTTTGAAATCCGATTCTAATTCTAGTTCACGAAACGCAGTCGACAAAAATACTTCCGTGTTTACAATGCCGAAACTTTGACGTCATTTTCTGAGCATTGTGACGTCAAAAGAGCAGGGCCCTTTTCTCGTGACGGCAGTCATATATGACCAACTGAGCTCAACTATGAGTCTAAATTGTGGACCAAGTGGCATGGGTTTCATTATCGTGATAGACCGCTTGTTCGTTACTGTAAATCACTTTTTATTCAGAACTTTATTTTCGTAATTGTCGAAAATTTCATTCTCGCGTATAATAAAGATTATATAGAGCAATAGCCACAATTCGTGAAAATTTTGTCTCGCTAATAAAGAGTCAATGACTATCTCGCGAAAATAATGTGTCGGGAAAATTAAGTGATCTACAGTATATTAATCATGCAAACAGTCAGCTATACATGTAGCTAGTCAGCTAAATGTTTAAGAGCTAGACACATAGGAGAGATTTTCATAAAGATCGGCGCTACGTAATAAGGGTCTGTCAAATCCGACTCAAATGACAAATAGATTCTCATTGGTTAAGAAATTAATAACATCAGGAACTTTAAATTGTTGTCGACAACAATGAGCCGACCTAAGCTCCACGTCTTTGCCAGGCAAAACAATGTTATTGGTTATTCGATACACTAGCTGACATTTGCTCGAATTTCTATCTCATGTATATTTCAACAATGAATGAAAGCTGTGTAAATTTCAGATGCTAATTACATATATATATGTAACGTCGATAATACCACTCCTAACTGAAAGTCCAAGCTCATCTGAGAATTGTTCTATCTCTATCCCCATGCAGGATACAGGGGACTGTGAATTTCACAATTTGAATTTCAAATTTCCTTTGTGTCTCTGTTTAGTAGCATATGAATACATTTCTTCTATAATGTACATGGGCTTTTGATGCAGGAACATGTTCGGTTAAAAAGTAATTTATCATTTTTATGCGAAGAAAATCATTACACATGTACATTTAATGCAGGAATAATCTTCTCATGCTTCTTTAAATAATATATTAGTTGAACACTACGTGCAGCAGAAGGAACTTTCCACGACAAATGCAGACTTATCTCTCTTTTAACTACTAAGAAATTTCAAACCATGCATTGAAAAGTTTTACAATTTACTTAACTCATTCTCTTGACAAGGATTGCTTCGAAAAACATTTAACCTTTCTCATATATATGTTTCAGTCGCCTTGATTGATCGAGTACCTCAACAAATAATTTATGCAATGAAAATTATCTCATCACATTTTAAGACGTTTCTAATCTGAAAAATCCATATTAATCAAAAGGAAAAAAAACAGAAGCACTTTCTAATATAATATTCAATTACCTACAATAATATAAATCAATAGCTTGGATAAAGTCAAATGATGAATTATATAATTCAAGATTTGTTACTTTTCAAATTCAGTGCCCATCCCAGTTATTTTATATACTGAGTACATAGTTTGTGCAACAAGAAGGTGGCGTACACAAAAAAAGCTCCAAGGCATGATATATGCTTGCCTTTTCCCAGGAAAAGATACATTGCACAAGAAATTTGACAAAAAGGATAAATTGAAAAATGAAGAAAAGGTTATTTGATTGACTATACAGTAGTGCAACAACATATACAATATTACAAATATCTGTAAAGAACTTCAAAATTAATTCATGAATGTAATGTACAAAAACTGGTGCATAGAAGATAATGTGCATTTAGTATATGTAGACAATATTGTTAACGTCAATGTTAAAAAAACAACACACGTATATATACATGTATGTACTGACTAAAATACGCAACATTAAACTGTCTTCATATTTAGTTCTTTGTCGATGCAATAAAGATTTAAGAGCAAAAACATGCGGAGCTCTCAAGTATTATACATGTTAATCAGCAGCCATATGCGGCCGGACCTCATGTACATACATGTATAAGCTAACAGTTTATGTAAACACGATTTAAGATCAAAATATTTTGAGTTCAACATTTTTTTAAATAATACTATACAGTTTTCATGAGCAGTCATATGTTGACCCCAGGAACATATTCATAGTTTATATGCAAACAAGATTGAAGAGAAAATGATGATTAGTTCATGACTATAATACATTTATCTGCATGAGTAACCATATGCTCGCCAGTCTTCACTCAAACGTTAGTTCACAACTTATTCAACAAGATCTTAATCCTTTAAATGAAGGACACAAGGATACCATGATTTCTTAATGGGCTCTTCCACTCTACGACCATAAAACTAAAAATGACAACTGATTTTTTGACAAGCAGTGCATAATGAAACATCATTTATGATGGCCTGCTACAAGTCTCTGCTATTTTATCCCAGAAAACAATGTTTCCTTGGGGGTCATCAGGATATTCAATATAGGATCTACTTTCTACCAAAGCCAACATTGATAAAGGCAATGTTTTAGTAGAAACATGCCGATACATAATGAGAAACAGAACATCTTTACCATTCCGTGTATATATACTCTCCATCCGTGCCATATTGAATTCAAACATGCACCAGTAAGAGTTTAGGAAATTGTCTGATAAAACTATTATTGTTTTCCGGCTTTTGGTAATGGCTTCTGCGATATTGACAGCGATTTCTGTACCCGGTTGGAAGTCTCGTTTACTAAGGCACAGTTGCAGACCTCTTAAATCCTCTAGCTGGGCTATTGACTCGTTCACAGCAAAGTCGCCATCCTCTTCAGCGTATGATATGAAAGCATCAAATGCAAACGTGTCTCTTTGCAATGGACTTGATAACCGGTATTTGTTTCTTGTCATGTAATATAAATAGCGCAGTTTCCATCGGTAACGGTAAATCAAACCAGTGACCGTTATTACAACAAAGAACATTATAACAGAGGATACTAGAAATGTAACCAATTGATAATTTGTGCAATACACATCAAGGAATCCTGCAGCACTTTGAAGTCCGATGCTCGTTCCATTATCAAGAGTGCATGTAATGTTTTGAAAATCTAGGATGTATTTGCGATTTTGAAAAGACCAGTGTATGAAATTCTTTGATTCACATGTGCAAGCAAAAGGATTATATGCAAGAGAAATGGTCACAGAGGTTTTCTTTTTGAATAGTTCCGAAAACGAGAGCATAGCCTTACCATGGAGCTTTCGCAGCAAGTTCCTAGAGAGATCGATTTCTGCAAGGTTCCTCAAATGATGAATTTTTACATTCCATTGTGTCATAGAATTTGATTTCAGATTAAGACTCCGAATATTTCGTAGGTTTTTGAAGATTTTTATTGGCAAGTTTTGTATTTGGTTGTCAGATAAGTCCAACTCTTCAAGATTTACAAGATTTTTAAAGGTTTCACCATCTGTGTCGTTTTCCAGGCTTTCCCCTAGAAAATTCTTATTTAGTTTCAGAACTTTTAATGAGCTTGTGTGATCAAAGAAGAATGTTGTCAATGACGGACATTTACAATCCGAAAGATCCCAATATTTTAACTGATTTAATCCTTCAAAGGGACCAGTAAAGCTTGTTATTGGATTTTGCGACAAGTCAAGGTGTGCAAGCTTATTGTCTCGTTTGAAATGTATGTTATGAAGAGCTGTCCTTATGCCAACCCCCCGTAGAATGAAGTGTGTAAAATTTCTTGGAAACGATATTTCAGGATCAAAATGTGGAACAGAAAATTCCTCCTCTATTTTCTCATATTTCAAAGAATAATCGTCATTTCTATTTTTGCATCTGCTTACTGGATTCTGACATAAGAACGCTTCCCTTGCTTTTTGAAAAGAAGGGGTAAAAAACTGATGAGATCCATCTGCTTTTTCTAAGCCTAATAAAAACTTAAACTCCAGTAAGTAAAGACCTATAGTCATTCTGTTTTGGACACCCGAAATAATTTTAAGAGTGGGAGGTAAGATCTTAGGAACATTCCTTTCTAAAGTAGCTAATCTGTTGTTATCTAAATAGAGCTCTTCAAGGGTTGTGTTTTGAAAGTGTATGATGTCACTGACTTGTAAAAAAGTTCCTATTCCAAACGTACAGTGGATTTTGTTGGCTTTGAGAACCTTTATTTTGGAAGACGCTAAACTGCGAGATAGATTTTCAAAACTTACAAAAGTAAGCCTTTCGTTGTAGGAAATATTCAGAATTGTAAGGTTTCTTTGTGTTATCAATGCATCTGCTGCAAATGATCTCAGGTTACAAGCAGACACGTCAATGATTTCCAAGTTTGGCATATTTATGAGGAAGCTCTTTGTCATCGCTCCTACAGAGCAGAAACCCGTCACACCTGATACGTCCAGTTCTCTTAAAGACGTCAGGAGCCGGAACGGCCGTCCAAATTGTGTAGGAGATATGACATCAATTCTAAGAATTTGAAGTGAGGAGAGATACCCCCAGATTCTCTGTGGAAATTCATAGATATCTTTACTTGTACAGTTCTTGATATTTAGTTCACGTAAAGCTTTTAAGTCTTGAAAGACATTTGGCCGATAAACACTTTTGTCAAGGTCAAGGTTATTTCCTTCTAAATTCAATGTTGTTAACCTTGTTAGATTTGCAAACGCGCCATCCGAAAAATTTTGAATTCTGTTGTAAGATAGATCAAGAATGTAAAGTGACGGACAGAAGGATGTTGTCAAAGAAGTGATGTTGTGCTGTAACAGGAGAATGACAACATCCGGTTGAGTTATCGGAACTTGTGTGATTCCCAGATTTGAACAATTGGCAGTATACAACTTGCTTGTGTTACCAATTGGACTACAGCGGCAGGCCGAGTTGCTTGTGCAGGGTCCGCCAAAACCATTCATTGCTACCACTACGAAGTCAGCAACCCGAAGCAGGAATATCTGCAAATTAAACGTTACCCAAATGAAATACACATATTTTTAAAACATTGAAATTATTTAACCTGAAGAACAGCTTAATAAGGGTGCTACATATGTATTAATTTTATATGTACATGTATGTGTGTTCCATAGCTTTTTTATTTAGAGCAACATACTTTGGGTAACTTTTATGAAATTCATGCCAATCAGTTGTGCTTAGGACAAAATTTGTAAGTCATGCTTTGGAAAATATTTTCCAATTTTCCGATGTCTTAAAGGCATGAACTATGAGCTGTAAACTGTTCATTATATCAGATATTTGACGGTCTGAGGCATCTAAAATCTGACAGAACGATAAAAACTAGCTCCCTGCTAGGCCGAACACTTCCGTGGTTAACATATTGAGAGCTACAGGTTACAGGTCTGCTTTGGTGACTTAAACTGCTCAGTACAGTTAAAGCTGAACACGATTTGTAAAAGGATTGAGTCCGCCATCTTTTTTCGAGGAATCGCTATACCTGCTGACCCATACATAAAGGGCAGGACTTTGTCCCTATTCAGTGTAATCAGTCGACACCGGTGTAGACGGACGTATGCTATACAGCACTCGGTAGCAGTAATAATAATGTAATACTTCGTCTAAAGCAGGAAAGTAAGATCCCAAAGAAACTTACAATTATAGTAGGTCAGTGCGGTATATTTACAAACAGAGATACACGTAACAAAGGTAATGCAAGATAACCAGCTCGAACACGGGTCGCCATTCAACGCCGACACCCGTAACAATAAAACAGTCAGGGTTGACGAATCTGAAGAGTATACACTGGTGTTGATGTATCGTAGATAATGATATCGAAAATGGCGTATGCCTATTTACGAGTCGTGTTCAGCTTCAAGGTTACAAATGGAAAGATAGACTATATTTTAAGATTTAAAAAATGCATACTTTATTAGGATGGGCGATTCTGTTTAGGACTTTACTGATATAAAAAAAATAAAATGTAGCTCAAATCTACATATAGAGGACATTTAGATTTTTTCTATTTAGACTTGTCACATGATGTCGGAGTCACATGATTGTAGCAATTATACTTGCAGTTTAGAGGTCATCTATAAATTCTAATATTGCAAGGGTTTAACCAAGCTACAATTCTTTACTTAATTTTCTTTTCAACACAATATGTAGTTTGGGTAGTTTGTGAAAAGTGCTGCAAATCTATATAGATAACCTTTTTTAATTGCTAAAATTTAATTTGTTGGACAGGTTGAATATTTTGCTGGTCAACTACATTTAAAAAATGCTATAATTTATTTATTTGCAAGATTTTTTGGGGTTCGCGACACTTTTCAAATATCTGAATGCTTCTTGTGTCTATGTATAATAACTTGGCAAGATACAGTGAGGGTATGTTATTGCAATAAATCGATTTGTAGGGCCCTTTTATTACTTTTTCAATGCATCTGCATACAAACACAGGACAGTATCACTTGTCTGGAGAATGTATGGACAATATATAAATAAAATAGTAAAATAGACATTGTATCCATGTTAACGGCCTTTTATATATCTGTAAATAATATTTTATTTGAGAACAAAAGACATTTTCCATTGTACAAAATGTGACTTGATCAGCCTTTCACTGTGTACAAACTGCGTCATTTTTGCGAGATGACGTCACATTGACAAGTACATTGCGATCGATGAATCGTTTATATATTGTTGTGTGGGATTTACCATCTAATAAAACTACATGTAATAGAAAATGTTTAAGTTGTTTACAGCTATCCAGCAGTTTGAAATAGCAAATAATTTCATTTTGTGGTATTTTGAAGATCTTATATTATGATTGATTGATTGTATACTGTTTACCGTCCCTCTCCAGAATATTTTACTGATATGGAGACGGCAATGAAGGGCTGTAAATTTAGGCCTATGCTCGGCACTTTAGCAGGGAGGGATCTTTATCGTGCCACACCTGTTGTGACACGGGGCCTTAGTTTATACGGTCTCATCTGAAGGACCGCCCCATTTAGTCGCCTTTTACGACAAGCAAGGGAGTACTGAGGACCTATTCCAACCCGGATCCCCACGGGGCTCTTATATTATGTGTGACTTCATAGTAAACATTCCCGTATATATTAGGCCCCGCCTCCTTACTGTAACCTGAATAATTATACCTCTACTAATTTTTCCCTACATAATATTAAGTGATTAGATCTGAATAATTCCCTAGAAATCGCTGTGAATCGGCTAATCCCCGTGGGTTAGTTTTTTGAGCTAATCCCTCGGTCGAAAGCTAGTCATGCTAATTCGCGGTTATATCTTCTCATTGTTACGTCATAATAGAGCGACGCAAAACACAATGCTTCGTGACCTATTTCATATATCAGAACGCAACAAAATAAGACGTAAACAACAAACAAAATGCAAGGATTTCATTAGAATTAGGGAATAACTGTCTTCTAATTTGGTATTTGCGACGAATATTGATTAGTTAATCTGTAAATGATTATATTTTTTCAAAGGTGATCTGTACAATTCAAATTTGTATCGGTATGATAAAACATTTATAGTATATCATTGGGGGAGTTAGCAAGATTCCAGATCCCCTCGACCGGACTATAATCCTCAGGTTTTGGGGAACTGGAATCTTGCTAACTCCCTCAGTGGTATACTTTAACTGTATATTGTGCTGCGTGACACTTTCAATTAAGTAAAGCCGATGAAATTAATAAGTTGTATTTTTATTAAAAGAAATAATTCAGACTCCAATATATATGGCTGAATATAGTAATTTTTTTGGTCTTATTCATACACAGTGTGACAGTTTAGATGAATACAAGGCATGCAAACACATTATTTTTATTCAATTCTTAATTTTGCATTGTATTACCGTAGATGCCTTCTTAAAACACAAAATGTGTTTAAATAATGTTCTCATCAGATTTGGATACGCTTGATTATGTCAATGGGAAACGAAGTGTATATTTTGCTTTGATTTTTGTACTAAAAATTATTTTTTTTATAGCTTTTGAAATTTTGAAGACATTTTGGAGTATGTGTAAAACAGCAGATTTTGAAGGATTTGCTAAAATCAAGACTAAGAGTCAGTAATTTTATACAAAGAAAAATTGTTTTTGTTAGTTTGTTATTTAATGTCCCTTTCGGTATTTCACTCATACTCGGCACTCAGGGCCATTGAGCATTGAGGGAATATTTTCGTCCCAACGCCCGGTAAGACACAGGTTTTCGGTTTGTACGGTCTCACCCGTAGAACTGTTTTCTTCGCCTCGCAGTAAATTTGAACCTGCGAGGTAAAGATTAACTCCTAACTTCGTGATTCTAGCCACTGCACCACGCTGACGACCCTAGCAGGAGGAAAAAGAATTAGCAAAGCACAGAAAAATAGCCACAAATCACTACTCATATCTTTGCTTGCTTAATCTGTGATGTAATAATTCAAGGTATAATAATCGATCCTTTACTCTTGAATACGCAAAAGGGTGCATGCAAGGAAGCTTATGCATCTTATGCACCTTGCGTCCCAAAGTGTCTGTGAATGTTCTTGATTATATAAAATATGAATGTGAAATTTATTAGAAATTGAAAATGATTTTTTTTGCGCCAGGATCGATGAATCCGGGGAGTATATTGTTTTTGTCATGTCTGTTTGTCTGTATATCTGTTTGTCTGTCTGTTATGCCCTCTTTACTGAATCATTTTATCTTTCAGTATGAGCACATGCATGCATACCTATAAGAAAACTTTGTTAAGGTCTGGATTTAGAAAAAAAAATTAGATAAGTAGTATTCTGGGCAGATCTTGTGGCAATCTAAGTAAACGAAAATTGTTTCATCTTAAGTTAAAGAGATTTAATGGTTGAATGGATTTTTCCTTGCTGCGTTATCTTACAGGTCCAGTACAGCTTTATGTTGACTTTTAGTGCGTTCATCATTTACAACCTAAATTTATTTCGCGTTAAAAAAAGTCAATTTTGGAATTTTATTTCAGCATATCTCGGAAAATAAAGGCAATATCAAAAATGCATTTCGGTTGTCTATATTTGAGTAGATGAGAATGGAAAGTAAAAATTCATGTCACATGGTTTAAAAGTATTTCATTGGCGTAAGTCGATTTCCTATCAAAGGAGCTCAATACCTTTATCCTTTCTTTGCATCCCAGATTTTTCGTAAAAAAATCTAAAGGCCTGTGACCTAGATAGACAGGCGAGCTCTGTTGTCCACGGGCGGTTATTGTAAACTAATTAAATAGTGCACAAAAATTATTCTTTGATTCTGTGGTATAGATATAACCATGACATACATATATTTACATGTACTTAGTCTACATCATGTGATCAATTAGGTATACTTAAGGGTTCTTAGATAATCTATTTAGAAAACTAAATATTAATTTAATATCACATATGTTTATTTTTGTAAAGTGTTTCGTTTTGTTTCCTCTTTTCATAAGTGATGCATTAATTATTTTTTAATTAAAAAAAAAAACAGGATATATCTATCTATATCACGAGGAAGCTCTTTCATTAATTCTTTGAAAATTCACAATTATAATTGGAAATGCTTCCTTAGCTTTAAAACAAACTCCGATTTTTTCATGTTTTAGCAATTCTAATGACCGTGTTGATAATAACATAATAATAAAAGACATACTAGTAGAAGATATATATTCTGTGATTCTACATTTTTTATCCTACGAGTTGAAATACATGATGTTATTATTTTTACCGTTTAAACAAGTCGAATTAAACACCACACGATGCAGACATTGTATTCATTTTTCCCTCCTTAATTTTATAAGCCAATCCCTTACAAAAAAAAAAAAATGAAAAAAACACGGTTAAAAAAGTATTTGTCTGAATCGAATTCTTTTTACGAGTTTATCTTTTTCTTCTGCACGATAAGTGTTCACCTGTTAAGTGGTGACATATTTGATGAACATCACTCATTTATCACTTAAGAGCTATTAGTGTTTTAATTTTAACAAAAATGCT